CGAAACGTCGGACAAATACACTCCTGGTCCCAGAGAACGTCTTAACTTCTTCGCATATTCTCGACCATTCACAATTAATATGTTACTGGAGACGTCATATTAATATGTTTATTTTGAATTTAATACCGTTTGTGCAGATTCCAAAGCTACCTTCGTGTCCTTAGTAAAATTCAAACATTTGAAAGCAGGCTTTACTCGGTGACAACTAATCAAAGTGAACTTAGGATATTATAGACCACAGTTGACTCTGTACTAGTTGGTAACTGATAAGAGATATGACCAGTGTAGCTAAAACGATTCCTATTGTTTGTCGCTGTTCATATTTGGCCTAATCTAAGATTGTAAATGATACGTAACATGTACATGCATGTAAGGACCATTGAACCATTTTATTCACTTAACTGGGTGAAGCTTCTTTCAGCAGTCCTCCTTGCATTGCATGGGTTTTGGTATCAAGGCAGGCTGCAAGTGAAGAGACCAGCAAATAAGCTTGAGTGCAGACGTAACTGTGAACACGTATGTGGATCGCTGAACAGGAGCCGTGTGTTAAAAAATAACTGATTCAGCTTTGGCGGTCATGGAGACCGCTCAGTCCGAAGATGGCCTTACAGTACATTATACACTTTTGGTATCCTGATTTAAACATCACAGGTGTCAATACGTACTGCCTGCTCCTGCTCCTAGACATTTGTCTTGTGCATTCGGACTTGATATTCGTGACATCCAGTGAACCCCACATCTTTCTCCATCTTGCCTTTTATTTTACCCACATCCAGAGCATCCGCATGGTTTGTGTAGCCTCCAAGCCTTTAATGCAGGTCGCCCACATCACATGTGGTATTCGTTTGAGGATATATTGCCTTTGAAATGCCCCCGGAAGGGCTTTATTTCCAGTCTTATGCTACTCAGTTGTTTCCATGACCGGCCATATTTACGCTTCTAACTGCTTATTCTTTTTTTCTCTTAGGTGGTCCAAACGTCAACCCGCTCCGTTTTTGGGTCACAGGGATACACCATTGCCCCTGGTACATCGTTTTTACGATTTTTGGTACGCTTTTTTCCTTTTGTCAGTCACCTGTTTCCGCATGTGCTGGAGGTCAGTTTACTGTCACACTATAATTAGTAAACATTTTCATGAGGTTTTTTTGTTCTCGAATACGACCCTCAGAATAATGTTGGTACCTCTCTCGATCACCTCCTTAGTACAGTTGCCTTCGGGTGCTTCTTGCGTTTGCGCGCATACATATTAAGCGGCGGGTCGTTTTGGTGAACATTAAAGGTTTAAATGCATGTCTAGCTATACCAGATGACCCTTCTGACTTCACTTGGCCACCAGTCCTTAATCTCTAGTGCTCTTAGCGTCCACACTTCGGCAACTACGTCAACTGTCGGTCGTAAAGAGATGAGGATGGCAGGCGACTTTGTGTCTGGAGCCTCGCCCTGTTATGTTTAAAGCCTTAGTCCTGTTGTGTCACGTGTTGACTTCGGCTTTGTGCTCGATCGGCCACTGCCGAAGTCGCCTTGA